ATCGGGAGGGTAGATTCCAGATGTGATGGCGGAACGCCCCATTTTCTATCTAAACTTCGTCCTGTCGTTGTCGACTGACGTTGCAAGAAACAGATAAATAATTTCGTTTGTACCTGAAATGAAATTGGCGTATGTTTCACCACCGGTGCCAGTCCGCCGTCGCCGCATAGTAGAAGGTGTAATGGAAAATCAATACGGCCCCCCTTGCCCCTATTTTCCCCATTCTCACCCTACCGCTGCTTCTTCGACCCTCGTCTTCCACTGCTGCGTGCTCGAGTGTGTTTTCTGTTGCAAGAGCAAGAAATGTCTCGTGTTTTCGCTTTGCAAATCGCACAGAGAACTACATAGGAGACGTGCTCACATCTATAGTAAATTCCGGTCAAATATATCAGGCAAGCTCACAGAAGGCTACTTCTTGACTTGTTGATACGCAATATTTTATAATACCGATTCATTAATATGCAAATGTTTTTCTGTCATTCTTTATGGGTATACACTTGTTTTTACCATGCACGTTATAGTGTCGGCAAATAAGGAGTTGGATTTATATCGCTAACAGAGAAATTCGGTCATACACAACAAATAACGAACAGCAAAGAAAAAAAGACGCGTGTAATTGAAGTTAACGCAGAGTGGGGAGACAACTCGACAAATAAAACTTGGTTATCAGAATAAAAAATGATGTCATAGGAATGCCTGATGTGGACAGTGACCAAGCGACTATTTGCTAGATTTCCTAAGAGAAAACTGCTGCCGAGTATTAATCGTTTCACTGTTTGTTGTTGGAGCTACAGAACGCTGTATGATTATCTTGCTTTAAGATGTATGGTACGGAAGGCTTGTTATATTTAATAAAGAACTATTAAATTCATATAGCTAATGGTATTATATATTGTATATTTCATCATTTTTTGTCATCCCCTTGCCACACATTTTCCCTTGTTACCTATGTGCAGGGTGTTAGGGAAATAATATTCGTAACTTTAAGAGGTGATTCCTTGCATTCTAAGCAAAAAGTTCATTATAACGTATGTCCGAAAATCAGTAGTTTTCGAGGAAAGTGAGTGGTAAATAATTAAATTTTCTCAAACATTTGGCAACGCTGCAACGCAACCGCGATACGGGTGCACGACGACTGCAACTGATTCATCGAATTGTTTACGTTTGTATGATATTTATATGCCTTGAATTATTGAATACTTTTACGCAACTTTTTGTGGCTAATATTTTTTATTTAAGAACGCGTTCAGTACAGTATACATTTACTTGCAAAAAAAATGACAGACCTTACCGGTACGTGCTAATGCACACCACCAATTCCCACTTATTTGAAACGATACGATGCACGAAAAAAGAAAAACCAACGTCTGTAAATCACATAAAGTTACAGTTAAATGTATTAGTAATCACAACAAAACGCGATGATACGAGTAGATCCACTGCAGGCGGAATACGACGTTGCCAGTTGTGTGAGGGATTTTGTTTGTCTGTTTTTCTTCGGAAAATTGTATTTCATAATCAAAAAAATTATTTTGTTAGAGACAGTTAATTGATAAATAGATGTATTGAACGTAATGAATATGGAAACAAAATAAGCTATTTTTCTTGCATTTCCATGTAATTATCCCAAAGATGTGTGATTATCCTGAAAAACTTAGACATTCAGTGTTTTGTATGATATATGTAACCATGTCTCTCATTTCCGACGGCCTGCATTTCCGCTAATCCGGATATATTGTACTTTTCCGGATATATTGTACTTTGAAATGGTCAAGTATTTTCCATAGGTTAAATCGTTAAATTTTGATTCTGTCGACATAATTTTTTCGTAAAGACAAATACGATGCATTGTATTCAACTAAATTGATGAAATATCGTTAATTATTTTTGTCAAGCAGTTTGCATTTTGTCGCTCATTTAATCTGAAAGGTTGCGGCCACTTTCGTCCTTTGAAGGGAGACTGAGACAAGCCTTATTTATAGCTTTGCTTTGACTTTGCTTCATAGCGGAACATCCTTTAGCCCTTTTAGTCCTTTGCGATCATGGAAGGAAGCAGGCGGGAAAATAGTAACGGGATTTGAGATGCTTTGGAATTTTTCATTGCGATCCACGTTGCGTTTGTTTTTTAAGGGGCCTCAAACGGAAGTCTCTGATACTGCAAGGAGGTATTTTACTCTGAACATGGGTTGCAGCTGGTAATATTTACTCTTCAACCAAAATAGTTCTTTGCACCACATTACACGCATTACGTGTTCGACAATATTTAGATCAGAAGTTTCCAGATCGATGGATTGGAAGAAGAGGTACCATTGAATGGCCCCCAAGATCGCCAGATATATCACCTTTGGATTTCTTTATGTGGGGTCATTTAAAAAGCAAAATCTATGCTACTCAGCCAACATCATTAGAAGACCTGCGACAAACAATAATTGTGAATGAGTGCCTTCAAATTACTCCTCAAATATTGTAAAATGTGCGTCAACGTTGTGAGCAAAATCTTTATTATTGCATGGAGAATCATGGTGGCCATTTTCAACATTTACTTGCCTAACGGGTCAGTTCATTCTTCATGTTTAAATTACTTTGCTGCCAAATGTATTGATCTCCACTAATGAAGGTGTATTAGTTTTATTTAAGCTTTAAATCGATAAATCTTCAAAACTACTGAACTGAAGTACATTAATTTTATATCATTATAAAGGGAATTGAAAGACATTTAAAATAAGGTATCACTCGACCACCCTTTCCATTTAAGATTTTAGGGTTGGTGTCACCCCCGCCCAGGGGGCTGCACGTGTTATTGTGATTTTGTGTCCCCTTCGAAAACAAAATCGACGGGTCTGACCGTTTTTCCAAAAAAAAAACTGAACTGCCAGTAAATGCGTCTGTTTCGTTTTCGATGCGTCACCCTGTATATTTTATTAAATCCAATCTATATTTGGATGTCCTGTTTTTATCAAACTTGTTGACTGTAAGTCACAAAAATTTATTCGAAATGAAATACTTAACATCAGATAATATACATTTATTAAATCATTATACCGTATAAACGATTTTTATGATAAACACAAAAATTAGCTGTAAGTTCATTGATATTTAGACATATAATAGCCTAATGTTTAATTGTAAGTGATTCCAGATAGTTCGATTGAATTGTCACGCGTGCTTCTTTCGCCGTCTTCTCAGTAACATATGTGGCTTGTACCATTTTGTGTTGATTCCCGTCGTTTTTGCGTTCCCTTATTTCATTTGATGCCCTTATTCGTTGTCTGGCTCGCTCGACGCACCGTTCTCCCTTCAGGGACTTCAGAGAGAGCAGGGACTTCTATTAAAATTTCATCTACAATCGGTGTCTCCGCCTTCTTCTTGCTATCGCATCGCAGCTAACGCCCCATCTCGCTTTTCCTCTTTTTACTTTCCTCGTTTTCTTCACTTGTTGGATTTAAACATTTCACGTAGCCATACTTTTACTTAAATTTCACCTGACTTTCTAGAATTCACATATATTCACATTGCCTTGCTTAAAAATTATTTGGAATCCACCGATCTCAAATCGCAAATAACTGTTACACTTCAAGGCTAGTTATTTATGGCATTGTGAATACCTTTATAATCGACTGACACAATAATGTTTACTCATCAGATAAATTAAGCTAAGTAATTATCGAAAAACTTACCCTTTTCCACAAAAAACCAATCATTTTTTTTAAAAACATTCTAGCGACGGACGAATGTACTTTTACGCGAGACGGGATTTTAAATTTCCATAATAGTCACACGTGGGCCCAAGCCTCATACCATTCGTGAAGGTCATTTTCAACAACGTTTTAAAATAAATATTTGGGCGGATATTCTTGACTATTAGGTAATTGGCCCTTTCGAGTAACCCCCAAAGTTATCAAGAGAAGGATACCTTAGCTTTCTAGCCAATAACCTACCAGAACTTTTGGAAAAAACCTTAGACAACATGCCATTACAACGGAGACAGAATTTGTGGTTTCTTCATGATGGGGCACCACCACACATTTTTAGAGACGTCATTCAGTATTTGAATGAACATTATCCGGATCGAAATGCTCCTGATCCTCGAAAATGGCCAGCAAGATCTCCTGACCTCAATCCGATGGATTTCTGGTATTGGGGAGAACTTAAAGGGATGATTTATGGGGCTTCGAGGACCTAGATTAAGAAGAAACTGGGTTCGTCGTAATGAAGCTTGTGTGGAAAGTGGAGGGCGACATTTTGAACACTTTCTTCAAATACAAAAAAGTACAGTGTGGGTTTTAAAAAGAAAAACAACAGATTTTATTTTACTTTAAAGTCGCTTTTCTCAAAAAAATGTATTCACCCCCATGTTATATGAAACTTTTTGCTTCTTTTAACACCCTCTATTACCCATTTAAATAATGATTATTATAACGTTTACACCTTGTATAACGTCAGATGATTCAACACGGAGAAACGGTTGAGGGGATTCCCTGAACGGCGTCAAGAGCCGCGGTCGGCGTCTCGTCTGGGTGTTTAGCGTGTTTGTCGGTATCGCGGTGTATTAGGGTCGATTGGGCGGTCGATCCATGGAGGATGGTGGACAGACTGGTCGTCGTCATCGTGGCCGTTTGGCCTATCGACCGACGAACAGATGGAAAGTAGTCGCGTTCGGTGGTAACAGCGTCGGCGGCGCAATGCGCGGACACCGCGCCCTATACAATATAACTTCCACAGTTGCCAGATGCGTAAGAAAATCGCACCTATAAAGGTGGTATCGCAAATGTATAATTAATTTTTAGAAATGACGGAGCGTGCATTTTCTTTTTCATAACTTCCGTTGATGGAATATTCACCTATACTAACTCTAACTACATTATACCCCTAGATGCGACATAAAAATTTGCACGGTCATCCGTCAATGTTTATTGTCGCAAGCCGATTTAGTTTGTTACTTGTTTGATCTCATACATTGTCTCATTATGCATAGACTTATATTACCTAATGACGTACGACTTTGAATTGTCAATGAGGGGGCGGCAACGTGGCCGCATTGCCGTCAATTTCGGCGTCGGCGTCGCGACGCGGTCCGTCATTCGTGCCGAGAAAAAGGAGGAAGACAACTCCAACGCACAGCAGGAGAAGGAATCACTCCGTCCGTTCGTCGGTCCGCGTGTCCCTCGCTCGTTTAACGTTGTTGCACGTTATTTTTTTCAAAGGTTACCGTTGCCTGCATCGCAGCGAAAATGTTGATCGGTCTCGTAAGGGAATCGGTGATGCAGTGCTTCTGCCATACGTGCAGCAGAGCTCCGCACCTGCCGGTCGCACGTAAGTTGCTTCCTGCTTACAAAAAAAACAAAACAGCTTCTATAGTTTCGATTGGGGAATGTGTGTTTGTGTCAGTTACAGGGTGCATTCCATAAGTTGCCAGTTAACCTTCTGAAGTACAATGATCTTTAGTAACTTTTATTTATATATTGCCTTGAAAGAAGAGCGCGGTCACAATTTTACAGACGTAATAGCATTAGAAATCAATATTTTGTACATGTATACACAACTTTTCAATCCCGTAACGATTTTATTTCTACCGAAGATATTTGTAAAATCGTACAACATTATTCGAGATTTTATTTGTATTATATTGGACAACCAAAAATATTGTATATTCATTTAATAGTCCAAAATTTGCTAGGCTATGAGCATTTCGTTATTATAGATAGTTGTTTGTTTACTTATGGACCACACTGTTTTATGCTGAATGAGGTAATGATATGTATCAGTTCTTTTCGTCCATGGATATTTCTAAAATAGTCGAAATTGAACTTTAATCTAACAAAGATACATTTGTAGAATCGAACTGTTTCTATGCATCTGTAAGCGTTAGTGTCGATATTTCCCATCGATCGAACTCGGCGGACATATGTAGAACACTAGGTATTGATCCATCGTTTTTTTTTTGTTTAAACCACCAGTTCATGAGATTATAGTAACGTATGAACAACTTTTTGCGCAGTAATAATAGAAAACCTACAAGGGCAACTTTACAAAATAATTTTAGTTGGTTGTCTGAACGTCTTGAATATTTATTTAAATTGTAACGTTTTATACAGTACTCTCAAATCATAATTTATCTAGCCGTAATATGAAATATTTGAACGGGACAATAGTCAAACAATGGCCGATTTCGCACCATTCAACCGGCAAATAATACATGAGTTTGAAATTGATCAGAGTAATAGGGTACCGCCACGTCATAAGGTAATATCGTTAAGGGCTAAACAGCTGGAAATTAGCCAATTCCCAGGTAAGCGAGGCATGTTTTTTATGCAATTCTGCTCCGCAACACGTCCACCAAAATAGACGCGCTACGAAGGTTAATTAATCATAAAGGCACTTCAGGTCGCGCTATTGACTTACACAAAACATGATCAATTATCTCTTATGAGACCGGTGCTGATATTTATGTTACGTACCGTTATAAAAAAGGCGAGAACGAACATTTCTCTAGAGAAAATATACCGTATGATGCTCCAAAATAATGGCAACATGCTCTTGCTAAAAGAGTTTATAAGTAAAAAATATACATTTATAGAAATTGATTTTTATAGTATGTCTTTCTATGATTTATCAGTTTCATTAAGCGGAAACTTTTTATCTAATAAATTGCTTTGTCTCATTTTATGTCGATGTTTAATAAAAACCGATTTTGGTACTAATATTAATTTATGGTCAAAGCGGCTGCCACAATGAACATGCAGTTGCTGCAATATTTTAAAACCGATCATCATTAGAAAGAAAGGAATAGAAAACGATTTCGTCTTCTGTGCAGCGGCAGAAGCGTTCTGTTGCATTGTGCGAAATGAAACGGCCGTGGTCGTCTGGTGGAAAGTAAATTTATTTATGCGAAGGATGCTGTTCGTTATACGGCACAGACATAATTGGATTATCGGTAGAATTCCATTAAAACCAACAGCAAGGATGGATGCTCTAAATATACCAGTAGTAGTTCTAATGTTTTTTCCCAATTGGTGCTCTGCGTAAAACGGATTTATGAGCTGTTATTGCAATGATGCTGTAGTCAATACGACTTCATTGTTCAGGACCTGATGCGTTTCTTTCTGTAAGTAGTGCTGAATAGGAAATGGCCACCCATTCAAATAATCCACCCACTCTTTGTTGTTCTTTTTTATTTGAGCTGTGAATATCCGCTACTTGCCTAACGGGTCAATTCATTCTTCATTTTCAAATTACTTTGCTGCCAAATGTATTGATCTCCACTAATGATGTTGAATTAGTTTTATTTAAGCTTTAAATCAATAAATCTTCGAAACTACTGAAATGGAGTACAATAAAAATACTTATATTGGGAGTTTAATTTATGTTGACTGAAAGTTAAGAAATGGAAAAATTACAGAATTCCAACGTTTGACATAGGCAAATATTTACATATCAGGTAGGTATATAAAAAGGTATATAAAGACTTACATTATAGGTATTCATATATCATCCTCGCCTTCGGAGCTGTCGCTAGAGTCATCTTGTAGAGGAATTACAACGCGATTTACAGGAGTCAAAACACAATATTCATTTTCTTTTTCAATAATATGCCTAGAACACTGCTTCCATAGGTCTGTGGCAGCAATATGAGATACTGCATCTCTTATTGTGGCCAATAGCGAATCACTTAATTGAGGGGTCTGATTATGTTTTCTTACTTTTTTTTTAAAGCAGCCCAGACCAACTCAATCGGGTTAAAAATGCAGTAATAGGGAGGTAGACGTAATACTTCATGGCCATTTTGCTGAAGCAGATTGTCAACAACATACTCTTTTTCAAATTTTTGTCTTTTAATAAGATCCAATAATATGGCTTTGGTTGATTTTTGTGGTATTTCCATTCCCTTATCCTTCATAAAATCAATAATGTCTTGTTTTTTTGTGCCTGTATTCGGAATTTTGTTTTTCTGTCGGGAACGGTATGGCGCATTGTCCATAATAATCACTGAATTTGGGGAAATGTTTGGTATTAACTGCTGCTCTATCCACTTTTCAAATAAGTCGGAGGTCATGTCATCATGATAGTCGGCACATGATTCTTTGATATTTTTGGCAGATAACAGCAAGGCATTAGGCATAAATCCATTTTCACTGCCAGCATGGAGAATAATGATTCGTTTTCCACGGTTGCATGGTGCATTTAAAATGCACTTGTTGCTGTCGTCAACCCAGCTGTACTGCACAACATCATGGGTATCATACCACGTTTCATCCAGGTAAATCAGATTTCTTTTCTGCTCTCTATAGATTTTAACTTTGTGCAAAAATTCTTGGCGCAATTCAACGATTCGAGACGACTCCATAATCACCATTCTTTTATCTAATTTTTTGTATTGAAAACCACACAGTTTTACAATACAGTGCAGTGAGTCTAAGCATTTGTAATTATAAAAATCTTCAGGATAATCTTTTAATTTATCCCGTATCATTTCCAACGTGGGCACCAAATTTTCTTTATAAAATCCGTATATTATACGACGAATATCTTCCTGAAAACCCACGTCTATTCTTTTTAATTTTTGCCCTATGCGCTTTCTGTGGAAGGAATGGTTGACTACATCTCCCCTTTTTATAACCCGATAAATGGTAGAGCGACTGATTTTTGTCAGGATACAAATTCTGTTTAAAATTTGATTTTGCGAGGAATCTGGATTTTCGTTTTTCAGACAATCATACATATTTAGGATTACTCTTTGGGTCTGTTCCTCTGAATCTTTATGAAAGAATTCTGCCTGCACAGGTTCATCAACCATCTCCTCGTGGCTTGGATCATTTTCCCAAGGTCTCCAAAGAGCCATATTTAGGACACACAAGAACAATCAACACAACAATTAAATCAACAAGTAAACTGAGTATTCAAAAGTCAGAAACACACAAACTAATAAAATCTATGAAAAAACACGGACAGACTAAAGAAAACACGTTTATTCACCGCTACACGGCACTGGCTAAACTGTTTCAATTTTCAGTAGCCACCTGCACTTGTTCCGAGCTCTGAAATACACGCTTTCTCATTGGCTATGTCTACGCATAGGCGTGCTTTACTCCACGTGGACCGGTGAAACTGTCGTTGATCTCTTATACGGGGGATATTTGCTGCGAAATTTGGCGATTTTTGCAGCAACAGAGCGTGTTAAATATAGATATATAAAACGCACCCGGTATTTCACAGTGTTTCAAGTGACTTCAGATAAAGTATACTGCTCACGCAATAATCACGCGATGATTAATGTTTTGGTTTAGTCTCTTTCTTCGTTCGGAGTGGTAAGAAAGCCTCCGAGCAGAAGGCGGCCGGCAATTTCGTCCAACAAGTTTCCCGCCGCCAGCGCCGGTTACAAATGCATTTCCTTGCAGCGCTTTGGAAAGTTTCATTTTGTAACGCGCCGAACAGTGCACCGCCGCTCTGCTACATTTTGCTCATACTAATGTTAAAATGGATATGGGAGCTTTGTCTGCAACCAGAAGTAAATAAAAATCGTGCAGAACTATACTCTTTGAGATATTTTCGACAACGATATTATAAATTATAACAAATTACGTGTAATTCTAGTTAGAGTAACACTTTCTATATTATTTGCTTTTATGGGATATTTACACACAACAGCAACGATATTGCCAGCTATTTTGAACGTTTTTCTTTTGTACGTGTGTCTTATAACTTGTAATCGATAATTAAAGCGTAACTCCGAGAATGATTTAATCAGTTTAAATCTTGTTCCATTTATCCTGATTTCTTCATCTTTACTTTTAGGAAACGTGAAACCACAAATATAGCATCGTCTAGACTTTGAAGATTATCGTTCAACTGTAACTAAATATTCGATAGATTAATGTTTCTCGGGTAAGAAAATCCTCTAAAAGGGGGAAGTGAAGTCTTAGAATCTTTCCGGTATTAACGCACGATCATTACAATATCAAATTTTTGTACGTTTCATCATGTTACCAGAAGCTTCAGCTACGAGGGATGTGTTTTAATTTTTGCATATAGAAACATAGTAAGCCGCGCGGATCGAACGTCAATATTGAATATTTTCTAGGGAAAGAGACAATAGTGTAATAAAACATGTCGGAAAAATCAATCAAGTGCTCCTATACGGTACGCATACACGTTAAATATTACTATATGTTGTAGCATAGCCCAGTTGGTTATATTGGCAATATCGCCGGCTATTCTACTTTTCCGCTTAGGTGCGCATTACATTACTTTCGAAAATGAGCGATCAATAAGCTTTTGATAGCAGTCAATGGAACCGGAACACAACTAAAATGAAATCGTTAAAAGTTGCAGATCTTTGGCGCATTACCGCTGAATGAGTTAACATTTCGACATTGTCTGAATTGATTGTTGAAGCGCCGTACAGCAGACGGATCGACAGGCTATCGTCTCGGTAGGTGTCCAGTCGAGACGACGGCGGCGGTGGCGGCGGGAATCGGGAATAATATTCCAGGCGTCGTCGGGCGTCTCCAGGCGTCGCGGCGCCGCACGAACAGCCTTTACGGATACGATACGATGAGTCATGCGAACCCCGGCCACCGCCAACAAGAACGTCACTAGCCAACATCAAAGCGACAACTCAAAATTACCCCGCTGCTGGCTGTTCAAACCAGATAAATATACGTACGCTGTAGAACAATTCCTTGATTCCAGTTGTTTATACAGGGTGACTTTGAAGTTGAGTCATTAATTTTCAGATAATGATTGTAGAAGGAGGATAAACCAAAATATGTGTGTAATTTAAAAAAAAATTAAAAAAAAATTTTACCTTGTTTTATAAAGTATCCTCCCGACAAGTATTTCAGTGCGGACCTGTATTTGATCGTGAGGTCTTGGAGCACCGGCATGCCGTCCATATGTGAGGTCTTAACTCAAATGATTCACGAGCCCGTTGTACTACATTAACAAAGGCACGAGGGGTTGGTTGCACTCGATTGGGAAACCGATCCGCATAAACATGTGCCATTTTTTATTTCGTTTGAGCCACGCAACAGACACCACTATTCACTCACGCGTTACCGACTGACACTGACTGTATACTCGTACAAATAATTGTAAAAACATCGTTCCAAATTCTTTCGCTTTTTTGTTTCCGATGCGATGAACCGATAAGGCGGATTATATCCGTTGTCGCCAAACACGAGCACATAATATTATTATTGAGACAGGGCGGTACTCAAACTTCCAAAGGGCTATAACTTTGTTACTTTAATTTTACCAGAAAAATGGTAAAGGAAAAAAACATTTCTTTTGATCAGATCTACTCACTGTTAAAATAAATGACTCAACTTCGAAGTCACCCTGTATATCGTGCTGAATGATATTCATATACAGGGTGTTCCTTAATGATATGCGAATATTTAAGGGTGTGCGCCTACATGAAAAATTAATGTTAGTTTGCTTCGTAAACTATGGTCCAAAAATGTTTCCTCGCAAAAACTCCTCGGGGTGTTGAAGTTATATGAAAAAAAAAAATGGAAATTTACTAATATTTTCAGAACCGCTTCAGATTTTTCACTGCTATTTAGTACGTAGTGAAAGTTGATAAAGTTGCATATTTTTCAATGCAAAAATAATGTTTAGCCTAAACAGTGGGAAACATTTCTGGACTATAAAGCAAACTGACATTAACTTTTAATGTAGATTCACATCCTTAAATATTCGCATATCATTAAGGAAACACTCTATATATAAAGCATGTTCTAGTAATAATTAATACAAAAAGCCTAAAATAAAATTCTGAACTTTAAAAAACATATTCAGTTATTGTGGGTATAATAATTGTTAATACATTATTCTATTTGCTAAACTGTATATCTATATTTAAAAAAATATATAGCTTACACTGTTGGCAGCAATAATTGGGAATATCCATGGACGAAACAAAACGGGAATGAAACAAGAAGTATCGTGATAGTTATAATACGTATGTATGAGAAACGAAATGTGTGCATGAGTGTATCTGTTCATTTTTTAAATGTGATTGGAGGTTTATGGAGATGTTGTTTCCAGTTCATAGGACGCAAATCCCAATAACAAAAGTTAAAACGAAACCGAGAGGCATCCAGACGATAGCGAACCAACCGAAACGTGTTCAATTTGTCAGTAAGTCAACGCAACAGACGCTTGTATAAGTGTGGCTAGTATATGCCTGTCAATATATAGCTGTAGATAGTAAAAATAGTTTTATGCCAAAGTTTTATTTCCATTCACTTTTGTGTTGCATTTTCCTATTGTTTGATTTTATCTATCTGCCGATGCACTGGTTATTTTTTTATTATTTAGTTAACTAGAAATTTGGCAGTTTACTAAAGTAGGTGCTATACTGGCAGCTTGAACTTCTATTTCATTTTTTCCAGCAATCTTTTTTCGTATTGCCTATGTAAATGTTAATGCCTAGTTACACATAGATTATTATTACTTTGGTCATTCCTAATCCCTTTCCAGAGTTTGTGGGTGCATATACAGGGTGGCGCATCGAAAACAGACGCATTTACTGGCAGCTAATTTTTTTTTTTTTTGAAAAGCGCTCAGAGCCGTCGATTTTGTTTTCGATGGGGACACAAGTTTGGCAAAAAATCACGTTAACACGTGCAGCCCCCTGGGCGGGGGTGACACCAACCCTAAAATCTTAAACGGAAAGGGGGGTTTAGTGATACCTTATTTTAAAGGTCTTTCAATTCCCTTTGTAATGATATAATATACATGAGCTTCAGTTCAGTAGTTTTGAGGATTTATTGATTTAAAGCTTAAAGTAGACTTTAATAGGTACATCAGATTAGTTTGTACTACTTTCAGAAGAAATTTGACTAAAAGAATTTACTTAATAAGTAAATGCTTTTCTTCACTACGCTCATGGTTTGTTTATCATTTTGTTCTTGAAGAAAGATAGGAAATATCTCGTACTTATTTTAAATAGGAATTTAGTACATAGTTTGCGATTGATTTGATCAAACTCGTTATAACTCGTCATAACTGCCGATATTGGTCCGATTCTAATCCCAGAATTTATTTATCATAAGGTTCATACACAGCTGCCACAAAAATTAAATGTTTGGGCTGGTATTTTTTGAAATCATTTAGTTGGTCCTTTTTTCTTACCTGGAAATTTGACCGGTGAAATGTATTTGGAATTACTGGAAGACGCCATAGATCCTGCATTAACAGCCATAATTGAAAATCACAATGATCGGCGGTATATTGCGGATAGGTTCATGTTTCAATAGGATGATGCCCCACCACATTACGCATTACGTGTTCGACAGTATTTAGATCAGACGTTTCCAGATCGATGGATTGGTAGAAGAGGTGCCATTGAATGGCCCCCAAGATCGCCAGATTTATCACCTTTCGATTTCTTTATGTGGGGTCATTTAAAAAGCAAAATCTATGCTACTCAGCCAACATTATTAGAAGACCTGCGACAAAGAATTGTGAATGGGTACCTTCAAATTACTCCTCAAATATTGCAAAATGTGCGGCAACGTTGAAGTACATTAATTTTATATCATTATAAAGGGAATTGAAAGACCTTTAAAATAAGGTATCACTCGACCCCCCTTTCCATTTAAGATTTAGGGGGTGGTGTGACCCCCGCTTAGGGGGCTGCACGCGTTAACGTGATTTTTTGCCAAATTTGTGTCTCCCTCGAAAACAAAATCGACGGGTCTGAGCGTTTTTCAAAAAAAAAATGAGCTGCCAATAAATGCGTCTGTTTCGTTTTGGATGCGCCACCCGATATATAATATTATATCTGCAAAGCAACTGCGTCCAAGTTAGAGCAAGGAAAAACGAGGTTTCGTGTGGCATTTTGCCATGGCAGAATTGGTAGCGCCGCGCGTTCGAATATTTCCAATAATATCCCGCGTTTCTCTATTTTTTCTTATTTAGTTTTGGTCATACTTATATGAGTATAATGCGGTATTTTCAATGCGATATACGATCATGGAACATTACTAATCGGCAACAGCGGCAACAGAGAAAGTCGTATTTAATCATTATTTAGAGTTTTCTCCATTCCGAAATATAGTTTGGACGAAACCTGGGTAAGATACAAAAAATTATCCCTACGATGAGTACTATAATATGTTACTTATTTTCTACACAACTTCGATATTTTAGGATTTTTTTGACAGGCGTATTCGAATTCAACAGCCTAAGCATATCGAGTTTCATTTATTGGAAAAGACGGCTCATGAAGGGAATATAAAGTTTCATATTATTCAAAGATTTTTCTTGGGGAAAATTGTATAAAATTCTTGCAGAATTTTGCAATATGAGGTTAGAAGTCACGGAAAATTCTATCCGGATCGTTTCGTACTCAAATTACACAACATACGTTACATATACATATTAGAATCCAGCTCCTGAAATTACCAAAGTATGCGAAGTTGAGTCGTTTGAATAACGACAGACAAAAATATGAAGAACAGACTAGTTATTTCGACAGGTTTATCCTTGATTGTAAACGCAGCATGTCTGTTTGAAAAGCGATAATCGATATTTGATTCAAGAGGTCGACAGAAGTTTATTTTAGAACGAATATTACGGCTAGTTTCGTATTTTTCGTGCAAATCGATACGCTATTATGGCGCCGTTGTCGTTACAAATATCTGATGTTGTATACAGGTTGTAAACGTTATGATAGTCATTATTTAAATGAGTGATAGTGGGGGTTAAAAGAAGCAAAAAGTTTCATATAACATGGGGGTCAAAACGGCATTGTTTAGAGAAAAGCGTCTTTAAAGTGAAATAAAATGTGACAATGCCGCACTGCCAGACGCAAATTACGACGGAACGCAGTGTAAATAAAGATGGAGTTTGTTATTTTTGTCTCTTAGGTATTATTTCATTATTTGATCATGTACTCGTAAAATGCAAACAATTAAAAAAAACGGACTTACCACTAACTGGCTCAGCGCTTCACCTGGTGTATGAAAGTTTATTGAACGTATTAAAAAAATCCACTTATAAATAGGGAATACAATTCTGATACATACATTGTTTTTCTTTTTAAAACCCACACTGCACTTTTTTGTATTTAAAGGTGTTCAAAATATCGTCCTCCACTTTCCACACAAGCTTCATTACGACGAATCCAGTTTCTTCTTACTCTAGGTCCTCGAAGTTGTCCATCTATTATTTCAGCCACATTAACATTTTTTCGCGAAATTATGCTTCAGTTGTTATTGTATTGTAAATAAACACGACGACGTACGCGAACAATAACTAACCACTGTTACCGTTTGCGATCGATTGCCGGTTCGATAAGAGTGATGAAAGACCGACGCGCTGTTGTCATGTGTGTTTTAAATATTTAATTTAATGAAATTTACTTACTGACTACAAATTTTGGCTTAACTTTTATTTGTTAATGACCCGATTTAAAAACGTTTTAAATTGGATTATAAGAATTAGTAAGGTTATGGTGATTGTGGTCGATATAAAGTACTTAAAGTAAGCTATAAAGCCATTTAGACAAAAATCTATTGACTTTTGGATCATGGGTCATATGAAGTTTTTGACTTGTTTTGACCCCCCTATTACCCATTTCAGTAATGACTACCATAACGTGTATACGCTGTATATTCACGAAATCTTTTAAGTGTTAAAGATCTTCCAGCTGTGGTGAATGAACATTAAAAGCAGATTTTTCTTATATTTCAACAGTGTTGTCGCACACATCGACAATATTAGCGCACTAATAGACTTTCGTGCAAAGCGCAAAACGGAATTGGCCCGAAGGAAAACTTGATAGACGACAATACAGAAAGGCGGCTCAAAAATTAGGTCGCTTGCGATCTGATTTTGTTGTGTGCTAAAGACACGGTGAAAGAGAAACGACATGTTTAACCGTTTCATTGTCTAGTAGCAGTTTTTTTTTGTTATACCCTCTCGCGTGAAATCGCGGCGCGGATCGCGGTGCGAATCCCGAAATTTGTTGCTACACTTCCGCACTCGCAAATGTTCGCCCCTGCTTCACAGTACAGTTCGCGCTCTTGACGAGTATGGATGGTGAAACTGCTAATGCTGCTGCAGGGCTACTTTGCGCTTTGGCAATTTATAATTACGCATATATAAGTAACTCTGGAGCAATTGAAAAGAAGTGGAAAAAACTCAACCATTCCCGGCACTCGCTATGAGGCAACTGAACCACCAGCGAATGTGGAGCCTAGTGGGTCGCGGGTAGTTCGCGGCTTCGCGCGTGAGTCTGGAGAGGGTATTTGAATTATCATTGTAATGCCCTCTCCAGACTCACGCGCGAATCGCACGCGAAGCCGCGACCCATGAGTGTGGATCCATTCGCGTATTCTTCGCGGCTTCACGTCGCGTTCGCGCTTTGTTCCCATTTGTTGTCGATTTTTTGTCCCGCGAACATGAATAGGCTCCACATTCGCTGGCGGCTCTGATTCCTCAGCGAGTGCCGGGAATGGTTGACTTTTTACCATTTCTTTTCAATTGCTCCAGATTTACTTATATATGCGTAATTATAAATTGCCAAAGCTCAAAGTAGCCCTGTAGCAGCAGTAGCAATTTCACCATCCATACTCGTCAAGAATGCGAACTATACTGGAGAGGGTATAAGCTAAGTAAGTTCGATTTTGCAGCGACCGAAGTGCGATGCCAGGAGAAAACCAGAGGCGGGCTGCGATACGAGGTGATCCTCGGAGAGGCCGAACCGAAGGTGCAACCGCCAAAGAAACAACAGCTGTCGCCCAAAAACAGCATGTCCGTTCAGGATATCGAGGAGAAATTGAAAGCGGCCGAAGAAAGAAGACAGGTCAGTACCGCGCGATATGATTGAGGATTTATATCCAACGGCATCGATCAAGGTTCAAAGGATGATGTTAAAATTGTATTTTTTCATCCGTGCTTTCCCGTTAAATAAAGGTCAATGTTATGGTATATTTACAGCTTTTGGAATCGAACAAAATGGCCGCCCTGTCAGCAAAAATGTCCAAGATCGAAGAGGCGAATCGCAAAAGGGACGAATATAACAATCAATTCATCACAACCACCAAAGAGGCGCTCGATCAAAAGATGGGCCAACATGTTGAGAAACGAGAGGCCATCATCACCGATCTCAAATCCAAGATGAAGGTACATTACGAACGTTATATAATAATTGTTACTTTCGTTGCATCGAATTAATTTGAACTGCATTTCGATTCATTCATTTCGGGCATAAAAAAATGGGGTCCGCTTAGGAAGACTTACATATTGAAAAAAAGTATTTCAACAATAATATTTCTATCGCGACTAACTGTTTATGCGTTCAGGATCACATCGAGAATGTAGAAAAGACCCGGCTGACACTGGAACAGCAAACCGATGAAGTGCGAACCGCCATCGAAGATAAACTGAAAACAGCTTCGCAACAGCGCGACGATAACATCAAAAAGATGCTCGAACGGCTCAAAGAACACGTAAGTTACCGTTTCTTCCTGTTTGCATGCATGTTTTAAATGTTCCGCAAAATGCTTATGTGTGTGTGTGTGATGCATCGTGTAGAAGGGTGTACAAAGGTATCAATCGATTTCGCAATAATAATATTCGTCGTTGATGTTTCTTGATCGCCATGACACCGGACAGTTGTCACTCATAATTTTGTCGGCTTTTCGAAAGTCTATTAACCGAATTTGATCTATTTTGCTACAGCATGGGCCTGTCCGTCCTCCTTTATAAATTGGAGTAACTGATGTTGATGTCTTTAAATTCTGTGAGCATCAATTGACGGATTATAGAAATGTAACGAATAGTCCTGTTGGCGCCATCTGTTGGGCGAGTCTCCTACTCGCCAGAGCTTAATTGCCGATCTCTGCTTTTACGTGAACCATTGTCGCACGAGCCGCCTGGCGGCGTTTGTGAACACCGTGACAGTGACTCGCCTTCCAGATCGACGCGAAGTGACCTTCAATATTCTAGATGTCGCTTTGTGGTTCACCAGACCTTTCTCGAAGCAGCAACGGGGACTATATATAACTCGGCGGCCGGGAGATGGAAGGAGAGTACTGAATACGGTAGAGTAGCAGAGCGGAGTGGAGTATAGTCCATTCAATGGCGACATAAGAATTAGTCAGACATAAATAGTGGTGAACAACCAAGTTAAATAAATTAGTGCATTTCTTTTTGTAGAATCCGGTGTTTTAATCCACACCGAAAAGAGCCCAGAAAAACGCTACAGAAATTTCATCAATGCCTGGTGATTTTTCATTTTTGATAGATCTCGACACTAACTGCTGTTCATAAATATCCGTAGGATAAAGTAAAAATGTCTGATCTGTATTTATATGGATTAGTTTTGTTAACGGATCATCAGTATTGTTTTAGTTTTTCGACAATGTGTGTGCGTGCTATTTGAACACCCTTCTAACATGTTATTATGTGTGAGACCGGGTGGTGCGATATCATAGATATCAGTCTGATACGTGTCCGTGTGTGTTTGTCGGTCCGTGAACAGGAGGAGCAAGTGCAGAAGGTGCGAGAACAGAACACGCAACGATTGCAGCAGTTGGACGCTGCGATTCAGGAGAAGCTGGGACAAGCGCGGACCAGAAAGGAGCAGATTGAACAGGAACAAAGGGAGAAGCTCAGGAATCACGTGAGTACTTATATTATTACTTATACAGGGTGTTCCTTCATGACATGCGAATATTTAAGGGCGCGAATCTAAAATCAATGTTACTTTGCTGTATAAAATGTTTACTTACAAAAACTCCTCGGGGTGGTGAAGTTTTAGGAAAGAAATGGAAATTAATTAATATTTTCAGAACCGCTTCAGATATTTCACCGATATTTAGTACGTAGTGAAAGTTAATAAAGTTGCAAATTTTTCAGTGCAAAAAAAAGTTTTAGCTTCAACAGTGGCGCGCGTTATTTTTGAATTTCTCGTTCAATTTAAAACAAATGATTTCTCTTGAATTGTTTTCCTTCGATGCGCCATTTTTGACAACAAAAAAATCGTTCTATTGTCCGAGAAAATTAATGTAATAATTGAAGAATGCAATTTAGCAATAAATATCTTAGTTGCTCTAGAATATGTCACTGGCTTTTGACATCTGACAAGTCTCTGTTATTCCAATCTGTTTTCATTATTCAGTTTTTACAATATTGTTGTTAATGGTGAATTATTCAAATGTAGAAATGGCGGAAATGCATTACGTATATGGCCTTACCGACGGTAATGGTGAGCAAGCCAGACGGATTTATCACCAGAGATATCCCGATCGTGCTTTGCCAGATAATATTCATCGTCGTCTTGTGAAACTGGTTCTGTCCGAAAAGGAACATCTGAAGGTAGACCTCTAAGTGTGCAGAACACCCGAAATTGAGGAAGCAATCCTGCACGAAGTCGAAGAACATCCTGAAACGAATACGAGGAAGATCGCTGGACACCTAAATATTTCCCATCAAATTGTTTGAAGAACTTTAGTGGATTTTTTGTTATTTCCTTACCATATTTTAAGAGTACAGGCATTACTTCCCATTGATTTTCCAAGGCGTGTTACCTTTTGTCAGTGGTATCTTTAAAAAATTACATAAAATCCGCAATTTGAATCATTGATTCTGTTCACGGACGAAGCTAATTTTTCTCGAAATGTCATTAAGAATTTCCACAATAATCATTTGTGGACAGAAGAAAATCCCTATGCCGTAACCGAAACCCATTTCCAACACCAATTTTCGGTTAACGTATGGACAGGAATTATTGGCAACCACTTTATTGGCCCATTCTTCTTGCCGGGACGACTTGACGGTCAGACTTACCTTAATTTTCTTAATCGACAGTTGCCTTTGCTGTTTGATGATGTTCCGTTAGTAATAAGAAACAATATGTGGTACATGCACGATGATGCACCAGCGCATTTCAGTGTAGCGGCTCGTAATTATTTACAAATTGTTTATCCAAATCGTTGGATTGGCCGCGGAGGGCCCCAAGAATGGCCACCAAGGTCCCCAGACCTTAACAGTTTTGATTTCTTCTAGTGAGGCTATCTTAAGGCACTAGTGTACACATGTCCCATTAACACTGTAGAGGAACTAATGGAAAGAATAGTTTGCATTGAAAAATATGCAACTTTATTAACTTTCACTACGTACTAAATATCAGTGAAATATTTGAAGCGCTTCTGAAAATATTAATTTCCATTTTTTTTTTCCTAAAACTTCAACAGCCCGAGATTTTGTAAGGAAACATTTTTGGACCATAGTTTATAAAGCAAACTAACATTAATTTTTCATGTAGATTTACACACTTAAATATTCGCATATCATTAAGGAACACCCGTATATCATATTTCATTTTATTTCATCCATTCGATAGTATTAGAAGCACCGCTAACTTTGCACATTTTCGAAAATATTTCTGTCGCATGTTTATATTATTATAATACATTGTGTACATTAGGCTGTCCCAGCCTATGATTGGAAACAAATTTTTGTTCGAATTGAGATACGCATACCGTATTTTTTTTCATTTGACTCTAATAGCTCAGAAAATAAATATTATTGCGATCGGGGAAGGATAACCCGTGCTTCTTTCGGTCAAAGTTTGAATTTGAAAGTTAATAGGGAAACCATGTGTGGATTTCGTTCGTGCTATGCTTCCGTCCGTTGTCCTGACTTGAGGCCAAGCCTAGACGATGCTGATGAGTTACCAAAAAGCACAAAACATCTTGTCCATTGTTAAATGTTTGTGGTCGAACGGACAAAACGGTATGTTTAGATGGTAGCTATTCTTCGTTTTCCCATTTCAGAGAATAATATCGATGACTTTGTTTCAATCAAAAGCAAGTCCTTGTGCAGTCGGCTCAAAATTGGGACAGTTTTGTCGACGAGGCCGCATAATGATTTCAACACGCTAACAATAAGGTGTAAACAAAGGCAGTTATGTCTGACTGTAAAAAGAAAACTTGAAAAAAAAATAATAAATAACGTTCTTTTAATGTTAAATATCTAAGAAATATAAAATACAAATAAAGCATTGTTTTATTTGTCGAATAAGAATAGGTTTTGAGATTCATAAATGACTTCCCTTTTAACTGAAAGTTTGCCCGAAAGTCGACACGGACCATAGTTCCCCGATCCCAATTATTTTTTGAGTTGTTAGAGTCAAAAAAAGGAGGATATGCGTTTGAAAAAAGAACTTCCATGTTTTCGAGACACCCTAGTGTACATATCAAACTCACTGCTCAGTAACATCATATAGGGTGTTTTAGAAAGACGTGCCAATATTTCCAGGGTACATGCAAAAAAGCTTCACGGTTTTCTCGGCTGATCCTTTTCATAAATATATTTTACTTCCAATATTCAAACCTACATATTATCTAAAACGAGTGACCTGACAAAAATCCTTAGGAAAATAAATTTATAAAAAATTAAATGGTATTTTATAAAATATATAGTTTTTACCCTAGAAATATTGGCACGTCCTTCCGAAACACCCTGTGCAGGTAGAAAAAAATATTCGATGCGAAAAAGGATCTTTAACAAATTTTCTAAGGATACATTTGAATTTGAATACTATTAGATTTATAGTTTGGCAGTCTATAGGTACGTTTCATGTAATATGATCCTTTTTCACATGTCCGTGTCAATCAGTATATTTTGTTGCACTTGCACTTGTTCGCTTAACCGCGCTGCTTTTGCATGTCGGCATCGGCGACACAGCTTAACAAATCCATGGAAGTGAAACAGTTCGTGGAAGAGACGGTGAAGGCGCGAATTAGCGGCGTTGCCGCATTCATCGAGGATAAACTGGCAACGGCGCTGCTCAAGAGGGAGGAACAGATCAGGAGGAAATCGGACATCGCTAAGAAATATGTAAATATGCCGCCCCCCTTCCCTTAACAACTTCTGTCGCATTCCTGACGCTGGCGAAAGTGTACATTTTGTATATAACAATATATGTGTATAGTTCTGTTCACGGTTTTAGGCGGTTATCTTGCCACAATTGGATGATAGTGGACCGTTTTCACTCGCTTTCTGAAAATACTCGTAAATACAGACTGTTAGCGAGTGTGCTGATGCTAGAGATTTTCGGAAAATGAACTGCAACACGAACTTGGCTTTTAACAGATTAAGGGCCAATTTCACCAACAACAGTCCGTTATTCTCCACCTATAGGGTCACAGACCGTTAAATACAGCGAATGAGCTTCAAGTTCCGATCAACAAATTTTAGCAACCAATAGCTATGAAATGTTGAAAACAAAATACTGTCAAAGTATGAGATGACATCTTGTCCTTGAAACATCACCAGCTTATTGAATATTTAGAAATTACATATAATACAGTCAAAATTTAAAGAAATGTTTGATTTTTGAATAAAATTCATGTTTTAAGTACTATTGTCGATTTTTTATTCATGTTTATATTATTTTCTTCAATTGATATGCGATTTTACTGATTTAACGTCACCTCCCGCGTGTTTTTTTTCCTATTAGCCTCTTTAGACAGCCATTGAACACCTACTTGATGACAGACGCTACTAAAAATATCATAGATATTGCTCGTTTTCAAACATTCATTCATTGACTTGCCGTGCGTCAGAACCATTATGGCAGCTTAGATTGATATACCCACAAAACCATTCAGGTTTTTTTGATATCCATACATCCATAAAGTTGAATATTTTTCGTTGTTCAGGAATTGAACAAACATCCACGCTATATTCACAGCGATTAAGAAATACCCAAATATATTTCGTAAAGCTACCAGCAAACCTATAACCTGCAAAAAAACTAGAAACTTGAAATATTTTTTTTTCACGGGTACACATTCTAGATCTAGGTTATATAATTTGACGTTATTTGAAAAACAGCTAATTATTACATTTCAAAACTCCCCAACGAGTGACATATGTGTGGAATCCGTCAACCCTTGGTCACAGTCACAAAACATATACACTGAAGAAGGTTTAATTCCATGCTATTCAATGACAACACGGAGACTTGTGTGGTTGCCAGCGGCCATTTTTTGAGGGTGCGACATGGTTGCCAGATTGTGCATTAATATCCCGTTTCACTCCCCTGGTCCCAGTGGAGTACGCTCCGCCAACTGTTGAAATATACTCTACTATGCTTTATAAGACTATTCGTGAATTTTTTTCCCAAAATCGTTGCACAACACTTGAAAAAATGCAAATGAAAATTTAAAATTATACTAAGTGACATATAAATCCGAACACCCAGTTTAGATGGTTTTATTTTAATAAAATTTGGTATAAGTACTTAATGAAGCATAATAAGTAAATGATAAAAATTTCAAAATGATTGCACTGTTTTAAAGCCTTGATTTTGACCTTTAATAATGTGTGGATGCACCCTGATGTGCTACGCATTCTCCAACGCGCCTAGGCATGCTTCTGATCAGGTAGTCAATGCCCTCCTGTGGTATCTCATTCCAGGCAACCACCAACTCCTCTCGAAGTGCTTCTAGAGTCTGAGGAGGACGTTGCAAATTGAGCAATCTCCTACCCATCATATCCCACACGTGCTCAATTCGGGATAAGTCGAGAGATCTTCGTGGCCATGGTAACAATGTGACATGATTATGTTGAAAGAAGTCTATTGTGACTCTTGCAACATGTGGTCGGGCATTATCTTGTTGGAAAGTTGGATCTGCCAGGGTGTCAAGATAGGGTAAAAGATGGGGTTCTAGAACTTCGTGGATATAACGCTGCGCGTTCATGTTACCTCTGATGAAGATTAAAGGTGACCTGGAACCACAAGCTATAGCACCCCAAACCATAACTCCAACAGTGTGATGAACATGTCTTTCAACAAAAAACTGTGGATTCCTCCTTTCACCACGTCGCCTTCTAACCCTGGCACGACCATCGTGCATGCCTAAACAAAATCGAGACTCGTCACTAAAGACAATACTGTTCCATTCCTGTTCCCAGAGTGACCGTTGTCTGCACCACTCAAGGCGATTACGGCGGTGTTCTCGAGTTAAAGGGAGGACCCAGTGTGGCCGGTATGAAAACAAGCCAAAACTTTTCATTCGTCGGTAAACACTTCGCATGCCAATAGGTCTTGCGTGTTCTGCAAACCGTTCATTTGCAACGAATATGGTAGTGGAGAAACGATCCCTTAAGGCCAATAATCTTAGGCGGCGATCTTCACGGTCTGTTGTTCTACGGCGGCGTCCAGTGCCCCTTGCTCTTTGCGTACGGCCTTCTCGAAGCCATGCCTGACAACACCTAACCACAGTGTCTACACTTCTTTGCACTCTAACTGCAATTGCTCGAGAAAAAAGTCCAGCTTCTCGAAGTCCCACTATACGTCCCCTATCAAACTTACTAAGTTGACGAAATCGTACAGGTCTCCGTACTCTAGGCATCGTAACCGATCTTAAAGGATGTCAAGAACCAAAATCCGCCAACGTTGATTCTTTACTGCGGCTGAAATATTAATTTTTAGAGCGTTAGTGAATTAAAAAAAAGCAGTATAAAAACCGGAATGTCCAACTGATAAGGCTGAAATTTTTTTTCACTTGTTATTTACAGTAAGATAAATACATTCACCAACTTTTATTAAAATAAAAAAGCTCCCCCAAACCATAACAGACCCGCCTCCATGTTTGACAGTGGGCAAAGTGTACTTGGGGTTCAATCTTGTCCGCCATGACGTCTAACGTAATGAACACCATCTGATCCAAACATATTAACTTGGATTTGTCACTGAAACATACCCTCTTCCAGTCACAGATGCTCCAATTAAGATGCAACCGTGCAAATTGTAATCGGTCCTTACGGTTTTTCCTCGAGATTAGCGGCTTCTTACTCAGGCGATGTGCAAATAACTTCAAATGATTTAATCTTCTACTTATAGTTTTCGTAGAAACACTGACAATTCCTTTTATCTTGATTTCGGCTTTTATTTTCTCGGATTTTAAACGGATCTTTGGACGAAATTACTTTTATTAATCTGATGTAGCATTTAGTTTTCTAGGCCGACCACTTCTCCTAGA